AGTAGTTCTCTTGTTTAGAGTAGCTATCACATCGTGTACCATTTGTGGTAATTATTAGAAATATGGTGGTACACGTGTCCGGTATAATCAAACATAGCGTTAAATAGATAGATCAGTTTATCACAGTTATCGAATCCAGTATGAGCAATGGGCCACAAAATGGTACTTTTGTACAGAGAAAGAAAACTTTCTAATTCTACACCTCCGATTTACATGTATTTTCATCAAATCGAAGGTGTAGAATTTATCTATGATGGCTACGGACAAAGTTTTGTTTCTACTCTAAAATTTACATATCACTACGTTAACCGAGTATATATTGAACTTACTGTCACGTAATTAAAGAAATTTGATACCATGAAAGTGAGATGTAGAATCTAATTAATTAATTCATCGCTAGCCGCTGACTGCTTAAAATGATCAAAAATCCAAAAGTTTAATACTAAACGAGGAGCGTATAACAAATTAAAGATACATTCATCCTTAAACATATGTATTTCGATGTATTTGTTCATACCCTGTTTTCAATAAATAAACGAATTATTTTACCCATTGATCGGAAGATTATCTGCAGATTCTAGCACGCTCAACGAGTCAATTTTCAAAGTGATTTCTGTCCATTGGAAAGGAACATGTTCAAAATCTCGTCGATGGATTTTACCTGAGACAAGGTGACGGCCTTCTCCCTCACGAGCAGTTCCCGAATCAGCGGCAGCCTGCTGACCAAATTAAGCTGTTGAAGCGCCACAAGAGCGCACTGACACAATGAGACCCTCTGCTCCTCGCGTTCCTCGTTCGTCTCCACGTTCAATCTGTCAAAACGAGTTACCGAGCAATGAGCGAACCAATTTCGAGCGAGCCAACGCTTAATTTCGACGCGTTTACCCACCCTTGAAGAAGATAGAGCCTATAGTAGGCGTCCTTGTCTTCCCGGCAGAGAACCACGTTGTTCAGGCTGCTCGCCGATTCTTCGATTCCTCGCGCTTGAAGGCTCTTCAACGCGGTGACGAATTGAAGAAGTACGAACGACGCCTCTCTAACTGTCCCCTCGTCCTGCAAATCCTTGATCGACGCGCCGAACAATTGTATCGTGCTCGCTTGCAGACGCGGCAGCACGGAAATTGTCGCTGAAACGACCGGGGATGAATTTACTGTTTCGCACTTCGGTTGCGCGAAATCAGCGATCGTAAATCACGAGTTTTTGACGCGTACACGCATCTAAACTGCGAACCGTTGTACGCGCTTTTCAGTTCGGGGAAACCGCGAATCGTTGCAGATTTTTAGCGTGACGCTTGCTCTGAAGATTTGACGGAACACGTTTCTTTCTATAAGCGATTTCTCTGTCTGATGCATTTCGAAACAAATTGACTAAAGTATTGAGTTGAGTAAAAAGTAATTTCGTATTCTGCCGATAGACAGCTTTAGGATAGTATAATTCTGATAATATTAATCAGATAATCTGGCAATAATTTGAAAGGTGACGTAATTCATAGAGTAATTAAGAAAAAAAATAGTTGTGACATTTGTTTATTCAGTTAAAAGTTACCGAGTCTGAAAATTGAAGAAGAAAATCGATACAGTTTGAAATTTTATTACGAAAAAGGGGAGGATGCGATTCAGGCTGCTGAAAAAAAATTTGTGATATTTATAAATATGATGCAGTATCAGTACGTGTGGCAAAGCTGGTTCAAGTGTTTTCAAAATTTGGAAATTTTGACGTCAAAGATGCTCTGGTCAACCAGTCACTGGAAAAATCGATGAAATCCTGGAAAAAAAATTGATCAAGACCGACACTTTGACAAGCAGTCACGATATCGATGAGGAATTAAACATCGACCACAAAACCATTTGGAAAAGACTGGAAACAAAAAAAAAAAACTCGATGTTTCGGTGCCACAGGATTTAACACTTGAAAAACTTAATCAATTGAATTTCTTTAGCGACCTGTCAAAAATTGAAAGAGCTTTGCTATGAAGTTTTGATACATCCATCCGTATAGTCCTGATCTTGCACCATTAGATTACCATTTGTTTCGTACAATCTCTACAAAACTCTCTTAATGATGTGAAGATAACTTTAAAAGGGTCCTGTGAAAATCACGTGTCGCAGTTTTTCGCCCAGAAATCACAGAAGTTCTACAGTGACGGGATTATGGTTTTACCTCAAAAAATGGCAAACGGTGGTCAAACAAAACCGCAAATATTCGGTGTAATAAGCTTCATTTAAAATACGAGAAAAAAAACTTGTTTCACTTTTTCACTAAAATACGAAATTACTTTTTACTCGACGGAATAACATTTCGTCATAAAGAAACGTTCGTACACGTTAGATTTATTTTATACTTTCACCGAGTCTTTTGATTAACTCTGGCCAGTGTGAATTTCATTTTTCATTACACTCACGGTCTTTAATGAGAGTCCCATTTTAAATCGAAGTATATTTTTCACTCTGAAGATATTTCAGAGAAACTGGTGAGCTCGCGATCGTGAGTGACTATTAAATGAAATGCGAAAGGTATCATCAAAATATCGCGAGATCGCATCGGTTGTAGGAAATGGCACTTGAATCGAGATGGAGATTTTCTTTGCTCCTCGCGAGTTGTCGAGAAGAGGCGCGAATTAATCAAAAAAATTGAACATTGGTCTAATCAAATTCTTAAGATTCATTTCATTGGTAACATTGCGCATAGTGCAGATAAGAGATAAGAAGGATAAGAAGTGCAAGTACCTTCGAGCTGTTTATTGCCAGGTAGACACGCCCTGTCGGTAATTTCCTTCGGTGGACTGTCTATAAACTCGATTACAGGTGCCAAATAAAATTCCTTCCGCGACACGTGCGTGGCCAGATCGAAGGCGACGCACAAGGTGACGTTCAGCTCGTTCCACGTCGCCGAGCAAAATATTCTTCTGCCGACGGTGATCGACGTATTGGCGTCGATGCCGAAGTGGCTTAAACGCGGGTTCGTATTTTTCAACGCTCGCAGCCCTGCCGGCGTTTGAGGCGTTTGGTTCAGCTGCAACAGGAAATGTATATTCCCATGCATATTCCATGAAACGACGTGTTGTTGAACGACGCGACGTTGTTGCCCGATGCCATGAATATACATCTAAATACAGTTTCACTGAAACGATCCAATTAGACAGCGCAAAAAAAAAAAAAAGAAAAAAAAGAATAAAACTCCGTTTATTCGCACCGTATACGTACACATATCGTACACATTTGAACAAACAAATTTTTAGTTAGGCGATTTGAGACATTTCATTTGCAGCTTTCGTTTCTCGTTTAATAATATATCGTCCAGCACGAGATTATCTTCGTATCTCTTTCTCGTCGCTGTTTATTGGATCCCATAAATTATTTATAACGTCACGATAAACTATCGTATTTAATCGTTGACGGGTCGATCGCTGATTAATTAAATTTACCGTCAATCGAATTAATTAATAACTATCGCGAACATCGGCGCATATTATTATTACCGGATAATATTTTGAAATTATTTCATTGCCACCGTGTGTAATCTTTCTTCTTTTTATCTTTCGTTAACGAGCGTTAAATCGCTTGACGCACTTTATTGAAAAGCGTTTGACCTCGTTGAACGTAATTTCACACATTTGCCTCCAGAGACCGGAGGCAAGTTATATCAAGCATACGGATTTTTGTATTATTTGCGTTTAATAATAAACCTTGCTTCGGATCATAAAAGTGGAACGGAATTCATGCATGTATGTACATATTACATCAGCTAGACGCATATATTTCAATGTATGCTAGAATGAACAGATGTTATAATGGACGAGGTTGGCTAACCCGTATCAATTATTAGATCATCGGCATAAATTCATGCCAATTATTATACTGATATTTGGGTCAGTGTTTAAAGCATGCTGCGGAGAACTATAATTATCATACTTGTATCGCTTAATTAACTTTTAATTTCTTTATTAGTGGTTTCATTTGGAATTGTAATATACTACCTCTGTGCGATATATTAGCATAATAT